TTCTAAAGATCAAAAAATTACTAAAAAATTTAATTTCCAAAACAATCCTAAATTTTCATAACAACCCATGTTGTAATGTATTAGCTACCGACAAAGTAAAAGGCAAGCCCATGTTGTATTGTATGTATTTGTAACTGAATTCAAGCATTAATTAATTGGCCATCCGTTTTTTTAGCTAAAACTGGAAGATCACGACGAGACTGGTGAGACCACTCACTTCCAACCCATATTAAGGCTTCATTTGGAAAGTAAGTTAGCGTTTTAGTTTTTTTAATTATTTCAGTTTGGAGTTAAAAAGTTTAATTTGAAAAGAATTTTTTATTTTTTTAATTTTTTGTGAGAGAAAGAATGTAATAATTATCGGTTAGATGAGATGTTTTGTCTCATGAAGCTAAAAAATTTATTTTATTTTTTGTGATTATTTTAACTAAAAAATCCTTAAACCCAACGTCCCAAACCTAGGCTAAAATTAAAATACTCAACTATGTGTATGCGACACATTAATCGATGTGATGTAAGAGAAAACCCAGCTTAGTTTTTACTTACGATGGTATTACATGTACTAATTAGTGTATACACTAATGTACTACTAACTAGTATTATGATATTATTATTGATTACATTTATTATACAAGTTACAAATATCCAAAATTATACAAATGATGCAATGTCATCTATTAGTAGACTAATGTATATATTAATCGGTACATGTATTATTCTATTACTTATGCCACATTTAACTAGCCAAGTACTATGAAGTAAATGTAGATATAAATTTTTCACTCATTGCAATTTCAGAATTGCAAATGACAAAGCTTGGAAACAACCAACTCTAAACATGAGCTTGATTTGTTTATCTTTCAAATCAATTTTAACAAACTTCAATTGAGTCGATCTAATATAGTAATTTGATTGTTTTTGGTGTATAATATTAATTTATTAAGTTGGGTTCAAAATAATTAATTAGCGTTACACAGTTTATATTTTCAAAAGTTTTAAAAACTATCATAAAAACTTGTTTAATAATTTTTTTGATTTATAAATGGTTGTCTCAGTTTATAAATTTGAGAAAAAAACGTAAATTCAAAAAATGAGTTTACGTTTTCAGTTTTCAATTTTTTTTTTTTCAAATAATTTATTTTCAAATTATTTTTTTTTCAATTAATTTTTTTAAATAATTTTTTTTTCAATTAATTATTTTTTCAATTTTTTTTTTCAATTAATTTTTTTCAATTAATCATTTTTTCAAATATTTTAATTTTCAATTAAATTTTTTTTCAAATTATTTTTTTTTCAATTAATCTTTTTTCCCAATTAAATTTTTTTTGAATTATTTTTTCTAAATTATTTTTTTTTCAATTAAATTTTTTTTCAACTATAATATGTGTGATTCCATTGTCATAAATAATAAAAATAAATATAAATATTTTATACCTGAATAAACATATTTTTTAGTTTGTTTTTTAAATATTTTGTTCAAACTAAACGCATTTGTAATTTATTTTTTTCTAAAAATAAATAAAAATCAGTTTATAAAATTTTTATAAACATAAACAAAAAAAAACATAAACGTTATCAAACACTACCTTAATGATTTAGCCGATGTGTAACAATTTTTCGACCGACCAATTCCATTACGAACTGATTCGACATGGCGGAACCGGCCAATACCTATTAGGTAATTTTCTAAGTCAATCACAGTCAATTTTTTTTTATCGTATCGTTCTATTTCACAATTGTGATTTAAAAATTGAGCTTTAGAGTGCTATTAATGATTTTTAAAAAAGACTAGATTGTCTTCAGTAATTATATCGTTTAGTCCGGTTCATTGGGTTTAGTTTTGGGTCCCATTTCGATAATCTGAACCGTTTATATTTTAGGGTTCGTCAAGTAAATCAACCTTACAAAAAAACAAGTTGATCAGATAACAAAAATCACGTGTTCAAATCAATTTTGTATGAACATTTTATTTTCCCATCGATCATTTTTTTCATAAAAAACTAATCAGAACACGTGATTTTAATTATTCAATTAATTTGATTTTTTACAAGAATGATGTACTCGACAAACTTTAAAATGTAAATAGTTTGAATTATCAAAACATGATCCAAAAGTGAACCCAATGGACCTAATAATACCGCACTAGTCTGATTTGGGATTGGAGAGAAGCCAATCCCCTTTAAAAATTCATTACGGTAACACCTGACCCTTGATCATTCTGATACATATTGGCCAAAATTCCCAATACCATTACACAACAATTGATATCAACATTTATATTAATATCGCGATTTTAAACCATGGTTTGTTTATATGACAAGCATGTTTTAAATATAGTTTGTTACGCATTATATTAACCGTTACGTAATGAGATTTTAAAATTCTATACAATTATTTATTGATATATCACCTAATACTGTCTAATATCAATATCTAATATATTTTTTTTTAAAATGATGATAATGAGTTGACGTTAAACATATATTTGAGAAGTAAAACACACGTCAAACTCAACTAATTTGGCTCATTTTGTAGCTGTATATGTGACCGATTCATGCGTTGCTAGGCTTAATGTTGTCATTGCCATTTTTGGGTTTACATTTAAACTGAAGATTCATTCACCCAAAGTTTTTGAATGAATAGCTAAGCAAGCCATAAATTTGGTAAGACTGATAAATGCCATTATTAAATCTGCCCATCTATTTTTTTCCGGTAACCAACAAAAATATATGTACATATAGATAGCCATATGTGGACCACAATTCCAGTATGCAGCTTTAACTGATACTGAAAATCTCCCCAGGACAAGTTAATTATATCTTCAAGGGTATATCTTGCAGGCAAGCTCTTGGACCCCAAAACAAGCAAAGTATCAATAGCAGTATCATAACCTTGCAAGTAAACTTGAGACATCATTCAAACCACACAACTAGTAACAGCAATTCCAACCCCAATAGATATTTTGTCTAAAAACTTTACATTTTGCATTTTATCTAATCACTTTGCTGTACTCTTAAAATTGATTTGTCGAACCGCTCAAGTTCTCGTAGCTAACTAAGAGAGAATGAGACAAAATACTTGCGAGTCATCTATCCTGTTGGAGACTATTCTGTGGTGAAATTAGGTAAAATGCCTAAAATAGTCTAAATTTCTCTCTCTCTCTCTCTCTCTCTCTCTGATGAGAAGATCTAAAAAGAACAAAGTAAACACATACCAAATCATGATTCATAACCTGAAAACAATAAACCAGATCCACAGCAACATAAAGGTAAACCATGATTCAGTAAGAGCAACACTAATTATCCCTTATTTGTTGCATGCCTTCATCATTATTGCATGAGTTACATATATAAAATTGAATTATAATGCATAAAAGCATTTTCAACTTGTCTAAATCTAAGCATTACTATACAACAAAAATAAATAAGCAAAAATGCTACCTACCAAGAGAAATAATCAGAATTTAAATATTGGATGTAGATTTAAATCAGAATTTAATCTACTCATTTTAAATTTGGGATACTTTTTTGAAGTATGTATTTGCTAAGTAATTTTTTTTCAAATACATAACTAGCATTGCTGATAAATAAGAGGCAGATAGATTTGTTGGATAATATAAATCTTGATAAATACTGATCACTTACTACTCAATTGCAAATTTTGAAATGAGGATATTTTAGTATTTTCACTTTGTCAAATTGCCCTCATTATGTTATTTGTAGTTGAGGGGAATGTAATTCTATCATCACGAAAATCATAGTAGCCGTAAACATAATCTTAATTTTGAAGTGAACTACGTAAATCTTCGTGCTTTGTACGTGTGATTATTTTGTTTTTTCTTCTTATTTCTATTTGTGTTTCGTGTCTCACCAATATGGATTAAATGCATCAATTCCTAACAAGATAAGAGGGGTTTTTTTTGGATATAATGCATAGCTGAGAAAGTGAGAGTAGTAGTTGAAGACTAAGAAATGTTGTTGCAAAGAAAAGCTGTCTCCTTCCTAGGTGCCCATAATTCTATGTAAAGATGTGTATATATGTATGCACAGATAATAAATTTTGCTTGTTGGTGGAGTGCCCACATGTTTCCCTTAGGAATATTAAAATCGAAAAGGGGAAAGGGAAGAGAAATTGAATTCGAGAGACCAAGCTTTGGATCTATCGACTTTCTCGAACATGGACACTTACCCATGTTTGGATTTGAGTTTCCATGAGAGCAACATATACCACTGTTGCAGACGCATTATTCTCTTTCCCAAGAAAATTATAAAAACAAACAAACAAAACACAGACATATATACCTATATATAGTTAAGAACAAAATTGTATTGAACCTGCATGGGTCGCCCAATGCCATAAGAACTCCATTATTAGGTAATTTTGTTTTTCGATTCTCAAGTTCTCAACAAACTTATAATACTTAATCGTTGGGTCTAATTGATAGATATACTGATATACCAGTAATTACATGTATCAACATCTATTGATAAAGTGTTATACTTGGTGACAAAAAAAAAAATTTGATATAGAAATTAACATTTTAATTCAGTTCTATCATTCCCAAGATACAGCCACCAATGATCAAACATCTGGGCTTGGACTTCTTCCCTAGAGTTCAATCATACAACATAAAAAAATACATATATAGATCATATATATACTGCTGATAAAAAATAAAAAAAAATCATATGCTAATCTATAGTTATTTAAATGTATATCAATCAATATATCATGGACATAATAAAAAATAAATGTTCAAATATCAATCTTTCAACTCATTTCATGACTGAAAAGCAAAAGCAATTGCAACCCAGGAAAGAGAACCGAGAGTTGCAACAGAAACAGATCGGTCTTAAATATTGGCCGATACATTTCTGATATGTATATATTTGATTGTATAGCTATTTAAAATAGTGGAGCAGATGTTAAGCAGAAATGAAATGCCCATGATCAAAACCTTAGCATTTGAAGAGGGAAGAAACTTTTAAAAGAGATAGATATGAAGATTTATTAGAGACACTCTATTTCTGTGAATAGTGCAGGGCTAAGAAAGTGATGTAGAAGAAAAATAGGAAATAACTGCAAGCATACAACGGATGTGAACACACATAAATGAATGAAACTGAGAACCCAACCCCACACACGCGAATAACACAGCAACATTGATACAACTGATCTCTCTCTCTCTCTCTCTCAAACTCGTGCAAGCACATTTGTCCAAGCTTCATTCAAGGACTCAAAACTGAAAATAGGTCGGAAGAAGTAAATGACGATGACGCACATATGGAGAGAGAGAGAGAGAGAGAGAGAGAGAGAGAGAGATGAGCATACAAAAAAAGGGCAAATGCAGTTCACCAAAAGTCTATAAGTCGGTCATTTGGGGCAAACACTCGGTGGATTATTTTAGATGACGACACAAAAACACAGTTTAAAGGTCAAACTCTCAAGATAAGCATATCAGTGTTTCTTGAGCTTCAATTCAACCATGTCTGCAATCCATAAGCTTCACCGAACTGCACACATTCAACAACACACAACTTTAATTAAACCCAATATTCATAATCTAAATCTCCCAATTGCACGCTTAACACTTGCGATGAAACTAAAACTTCATAAATATATATATATATATATAGACACATCGTCCCAGCACCGGTCACAAAGCTGGTCAGAAATGGAAACCAAAGGATAAAAAAAAAAGAAGAAAATACCAGAAAATGAAAGAAAGAAAAGCCTAACACTAGCACTACTAGAAATTGGAGAAAGCAAAAGTAGTAGTCTCACTCTCACTCTCACAATTTTCATACCAACAACAACGCATCTACTACACTCTTGCCATCTTCATATGTTTCTCTCGCGGTCTATAAATAGTACAATATATATATATATATATATATTAAGATATTTAAGAGATAAAACACATATAAATGTCTTCTTCTTCTACTACTACTACTAACTTTGTTGTTGGTGGGTTGGGTTGGGTTGGGTTGGGGTTGCGTTTCTTCTTCTAGGGTTTCTTACCGAGAGTGTGCTTGTTGTTATGCATCCAGACCTTGAGCACATGTCGCTTCACACCAGTTTTAGCTGAGAAAGTAACCACCGCCTCATCTTGCTTCTGGATCCTCCACCCCAACTTCTCCGCCAAATCCAACATCTTGTCCTTCTGCTCCCCCGTGAACTTTGTTCTAAACCTTTTCTTCGAACTCCCTCCCATGCTCATGTTGCTCGGGTTCGACATATCCTCTTCGTCCTCACGGCTTTGCGAACCACCGCCTCCTCCTCCGCCTCCGCCGCCTGAGGTCGACGGCAGAGCCAGAGGCCTCTGGTGGGGCGCCACGTGGAGGTACCCGGATGGGGTTCTGTAGTAGGGAGAGAACTGCTGATGCGGAGGAGCAAGGAAGTGGGGTGGTGGGGGGTGGTGGTGGTGAGGGAAGTTGAGGACCTCTCCGCCGCCGCCTACGGTGGTGGAATCGGACTCCTTGCGGTGGAAGTTGCGGTGGCAGTTGCAGGCGGCGCACTTGAGAGCATCGAGGGAGCCGTCAGCTCCGGCGGGGAGAAACTCGCCGCAGCCGTCGACGGCGTGGCCGCCGAGTCCGACGGCGTGGTTCTTGAGGCACTCTCTGTACCTGGGCTTCCTGGGCGGCGGGTCGACCCCAGTTGAAACTGAGGTCGACATTTTGGGGCGTGAAGAAGAGTTGCCGAGTGAGTCATAATAGCTTGGTGGAAGCCCAATCTCTTCCTCGTGCTCTTCTTGATCTTCAAACTCCATTAATTCTTCTTTGCCTAATAATACACCAAACACTAATTCTCTATAAATCGATCTCTCTCTCTCTCTCTCTCCCTAAATAATATACAATAAAAAAAAACTAAAGGCTAACAGAGAAAGGTCACCGGAGATGAGAGGGCTTTGCCGATAATTTTGTTTTCTTTCTAATTATTGTTTGGAGGTTTTTTAAGAATAATACAAGTTCAAAAGAAGAGAAGATAAAGAGTAGTGAGAGAGTGCGGCCATCATCAATCTCCCCCCCTCTCTCTCTCCCTGCAAAAAAGGGCCGTCTTCCTCAAAAGGTCTTCAAATACTTTCCCGTTTACGAATAATGCTGTTTTTTAGCGACAGTTTTAAAATAAATATATAATAAAAAAACATTTTAAATTCACAATAATTGATAATTTTTTTTGTTTATTTAAACTTGTTTTTGGGCTTTTTTGGAAATTAGTTATAAGCCTTGGGAAATGATTTGACTTTTTTGTTTTTTAACTTTTTCATTATTTTAATTTAGGTTAAAACATCTCGCTTAGATTGAATTTTTTTAATTTTTTTAATTTCATAAAAAAAAAATAATTATTATTTAAATGTGACATTTTATTTTATTAATTTTTTAATTAATTTTGTGGTTAAAATAACCAAAATCTCACATGCCAAACATAACCTAAGTTAATTTATTTGACTTATTTAGATCATATTACTTTTTTAACTGCCTTTGCTTCCACGTTCAGCAGCTTCGGTTGCCAATCTCTTTGAGCACATCCTAGGCTCTTTCACTGTGTCCTTTATTATGCAAACAATCTCTGCGTTGCTCATAACATCCCAGAGCCATCGCTAGCCATAACCTGACAGTCGAACACATATTGTTACTCTCTCTATAAAAATGTGATATGCTAACAAGTCACAACCATCCGTCATAAATAAAGCAAAATTTTGAAAATGGTCTGATTACAAATGAAACATACATCATAAGCATTTGAATTAAATAAGAATTATTGGGAAAAGCATAAAGGTCGCAAAATTATCTAGGGTTTTACTTCCTACCCCCCTTTTCAGCCACTGTAATTTTTTTCAAAAGATCATTTTTTAGAGATCACTAAACTAAAGAATATAACTCCAAGTTCAGAAATATGAGAAGCATGTGAAGGTAGGTGTTAATAGTTGATATTGGTAATATGACAAGAAGGTTGAATATGAAGAGATAATAAAAATAGAAAAGAGAGAAGAAAGAACACAAAAAGTTAATGTGGTTCAGTCAATCTTGGCCTACGTCCACACATACAAAGCCCTATGGGCTACATCTTTTATTCACACTACTTAATCCTCTTGATTACATGGTACACCATATATATAAAGTGGGAGATACAATCAAATCCCTTCAGTTATGGATCTTCATATATTCTGATATCTTTAACACTATAATGTTATCTCAAACTTAACTAGTCCCAAATATACTAGAGAGGTTATCTTCCTAATATTAGGTATGGACTGTCTCACTTTACATGTAGTTCTATGGAAGTTCAATCGTCAGAACACTCTCTCATTCTAGGCTTACTCCACACCCTCCTTGTTTTGTCTTATTTCAATGCTTTGAAACCATGAGGTGTGAATGGGGAGGGAAGAGATAGGGCAAGGTCGCTAGAATTTTTTTATTTTTAGAACCGAAAAACAAAGGCATAAACCATAATCGTTCAAATTGTGGTATACGATCTCTTTTGAATAAGTTTGATCTGAGTGCCTACCTGTGTTATGCACTAACAAACGAAAAGCATAATACAAATTAGAATAATTACAAGTCTGCCAAGATAATTTTTTTTTTTTTTTTTTTTTTAAACTCAACTCTCAACTCTCAATTCTCAACTCTCAACTCTCAACTCTCAACTCCATAATCAAATGATAGTTTTAAAACTAAAGCAAATGGTGTTTTTTTTTTTTGGCATTGCTGTTCTATCTTAAAAATTATATTCACTTTTCAAATCCAATAATTGGCTAACCAATTATAAAATCTAAGGCAACTCTCTTCGTCTCTTCTATATTCTTTAATTATCAACCAATTACTTCACTTGGGTCTTGAAAGTTGGCTTACATATAATTTTCTTTCCTTTTTTTTGTTTTTTTGTAAAAAATTTCACTTTACCCCTTATGATTTGTCTCATATGCAGATTAGCCCTCTCTTATTTGAAAATAACCACATAATCCTACTGTGATTTGTGAATTAAAGTGTATCATTAAATATTTCGTCCAACTTAATAGCAAAGTGTGAAATGTCTCAAACATAAGGAAGTTATGTGCTTATTTTAAAAATATAATAAGGTAAATCACATATGAAATAAAATACAAAAAGTTAAATTGCATTTTCCCTCCCAAATAAATAACGAAAATATTCGTTGTTCATACACTTAAAAATGTAATTTGCCCTTATTTATATACAAAAACTATTTTGCCCTTATTTGCCCTTATTTAATTTGCCCTTAAGTTGAATTTTGAAAAGGCGTATGATTCCATTAATTGGGGCTTTCTCTTCTCTATGCTGTCTAAGTTCGGGTTTGGTGCTAAGTGGATCAACTGGATGAAGGAGTGTGTAACTATGGCAAGAGTCTCAGTGCTTGTCAATGGATCTCCTACTGAAGAGTTTAGCCCTCAAAGGGGTCTAAGACAAGGTGATCTACTATCTCCTTTTCTGTTTAATCTAGTTGCAAAAGGCTTACATCTTCTGTTGAGCAGAGCTTGTAGGCTAAACCTAATTAAAGGGGTGAAGGTAGGCCGCGAGGGAGTGTTGTTGACTCATTTACAGTTTGCAGATGATTCACTCTTGTTCTGTGAAACTGAGGTGGAGGAGGTGAGAAAATTGAAGAGGGTGCTAAGATGTTTCGAAATCTTGTCTGGCCTAAAAATAAACTTTCACAAGAGTATTGTATGTGGTGTGGGTGTATCTGTGGAAATGATGAATGAGATGGCTACAATTTTGAATTGTAAAACTCAAGCATTGCCTTATTAGTTATCTAGGGTTGCCATTAGGTGCTAATCCAAGAAAGAAGGCTACTTGGAAACCAGTTGTGGACAAAGTCAAAAGCAAGCTGGCTGGATGGAAGAGGAAGATGTTGTCTTTTACGGGGAGACTCATATTGATTAAAGCAGTAACTTTAGCCTTGCCAGTATATTACTTATCATTATTCAAGATGCTGTAGACACCCCATTTTTGACCGACCTTGAGATTCAGACGTCACCAGTTGAGCACTCGGTGATATCGCATATTGTGCTTGCTCAGAAGTTTCAGAGTCTCGGCTGCGAGCCTTGCCTCCGGACTTTCGGACTCTTTTGTGCTTTGTCTCGGTTTGCGAACCAGGCTCGGTTTTCTCTGTTTTCTCTTTGCGAAGGGAGGGAGAGGTCTCGTAGACCATCTCTCAGTGGCCGTAGGCTACGTTTCGTGGTCGTAGGTCATTTTTGCCCGTTTGGAGTCCGATTCTCGGTTTTTCGGAATCGTTGGCCGTGTGCCTCGGTTCGGGACCGCTTAACCATCTCCGTTTGCTCCAATTTTTGGCATACATCCTATTTGCTCCCTTTTGAGGGACACTGTGACCTGAGAGACCGACTTCGTGGTCGAACACCACTCCCGGTGCCTAACAGACAGTTTTCGGGGTCCCAAACTGCGCATTCTGGCCCCCGAACATTCGTTTTGCATCGGTTTTCGTTCATTTTTGGCAAGTACCTCTGTTTCATCACCAGGAAGGCCGTAGAAGGGTGGGAGGCCAGCAATTGTTTCAACAACCAGTTATATTCCTCCGGCGCCCTCCGACGCCCGTTTTTCTCACTTCCAAGCCAATGTTGAACACCCTTGGGCCATTTTCTTGAACTTTTAACCACATATTTGTGTTGTAGACACATGGGAGGACACCAAAAGTTGATGGCCGGCCAGTAATTCCACCTGACCCTTTTGAACCCTTCCTAAAAATGGCCTATTCTCTCTCCTGTTTTACAGTTGACAATTTTGAACCACAGAGGAAAATCCATATGATCAAATGGGAGGAGTTATCTAAAAGAGTGGATCAAGGTGGTTTGGGTATTAGGCAGTTGAGGGTTGTAAATAACTGTCTGCTTATTAAATGGTGGTGGAGGTTTGGTAGTGAAAAGGATGCTTTATGGAAAAGAGTTATATGCAGCAAATATAAGATAGAGGTGGGTGGTTGGATTCCGTCACTCACCCCATCCATTAACCACTCAGCAGTGTGGAAAGGGATCATCTCTGTTGCTGAACAGAGTAATAGCTTAAAGGAGTTCTATCTGAATAATTTTCATTTAAAGGTAGGGGATGGGGTGAGGATCTGTTTTTGGACTGATATATGGTACCACTCTGTTTGCTTGAAGGATGAATTCCCAACACTGTTTAGGTTGTCTTTGGAGAAACAGGAGTCTTTGAGTGTTATGGTTAACAAGAAAATCATAGCAGGTGGCTGGTTCCTGGTCTTTAGAAGGGAGCTGTATGATTGGGAGAAGCTGAAGCTGGACAGATTAGTTACTATGTTGCTGGCAACCTCAGATCTGTGTCCAGAGTGCCCTGATCAACCTGTCTGGTCAACCTCTTCTTCTGGGATTCTAATGTCATCAGATTTGTATAAGTTTGCTGTGGCCACTGCTGGAGCCTCTCTGAGCATAACTAGGCTGATATGGCTCAAGTATATCCCTCCTAAGGTACAAGTCTTTGGTTGGTTTGTATAGAAAAAGAGATTGAAGACTAAGGAGTTCTTACAGAAGCTGGGTGTGATTAATCAAGGTGCCTCTACAGCTTGTGTATTTTGTGGTAGTGAGGGTGAATCAGTGAATCATGTACTACTTTGGTGTCCCTTTGTGTGGAAGATATAGGCTGAAATGCTAAATTGGTGGGATGTTCAAGTTGTTATTCCAGGTTCTGTGGAGAGCCTTCTCCTGTGGTGGGCTGGAGGGAAGTGGAGGAAGCTAGAAAAGAAGATTTGGAGAGTAATTCCATTGGTAGTGATGTGGTCAATTTGGAAGTGCAGAAATGAGTGTGTGTTTAGAGAAAACATCCCAAATTTGGAGGACCTCCGTGATCTAATCAAGCAGAGGATTGCATTTTGGGTAAAATCACACTTTGCAGGTCTACATTATTCAGTGCATGATTTTGTCTTCAAGTTGAGACAAGTTAGAAAGTGTTTGGGGGGGTCCATGGTAGTTCAGTAAAAGTAGCTGTGGTGCTGGACTGCTGGTCTGTGAAGCTCTACAGACCTGGTTGTTGCTGTATAAAGGCTGTGTTTTGGTTGAATTCTATTTTATAGGTCTGCAATAGTAGTGCCCCAATGCAACAGGTGTTTGTATTGGAGTCCTGGGGTCCTGCTCCGTTTTGGGTCATTTGAGGCAGTTTCATTTGCTATCATTCCTGTGGTATCATTTCTGTGGGGTCCTGCTCTGTCTTGGGTTCTGCACTTTCCTTTGCTGATTTGTTTACTGCTTAAGTGCCTAGTTGCTCTGTTGCTGATCTGCCTGCCGTTTGGGAAGGCTGTTGGCTAATATGCTGTTGGGTTAGCTTGCTCGGGGTTAGTTTTGCCCTGGACTAGGCTCTATCTGTTGCATCTGTTTTTCTGTCATTTAGCCCAGGAGCTCTGCTTGGATTAGTTCTTGGTCCATTTTGCTGTGTTGCTGTAGTGAATTTCTGTTAGTACTGGGTCTGCTATGTGGGTTCATGCTAGGAAGGCTGCTGTTGTGAAGTCCATTTTTGTAGTTTTGCTAGTGGATGTTAAGCTGCTAGGCTACTATGCTGCTGGGTTGTTTGGTGCTTGAATTAGCTTCTTGATTTCACTAAAGCCTTTACTGCTGGTCTGCTAGTGCTAGA